ATTAACTTGGCTGAGACTTGGCCCAGATATGGTCCATGTTTGGCCCTTATATGAAAGCCAGACTTGGTCCAATCATGTACCGTAATTCACTGCACCATGTGGGCCAAGCAAAAGCTGATTGTGGGGGCCAGATCTGGGCCAGATGAATTTTGTTATGTGGGTAGTTAGCCTCTCCTCATATAACTTCTTACATCACTTTCATTTAAGTATATTTATTCATTGGATATTGCCTATTTCCATAATGTACAGATACTAACAGTGTAATGTGTCTTTTTGGCAAATAAGCAGGTTTTAAACACATTAAAACCACTAAATTCCAATCTTCTCAGTTAGGTAGCTAACGTGCACAGGAATAGTTACTCACTGGTTCGGTTACAGTAATTTACTAAGAACACTGTTGTCAGTTACTCACTGTAACGGTTTGGTTGCAGTTATCTACTAACAACACTGTTGCCAGTTACTCACTGTTACCAAACCATTACAGTGAGTAGCTGGCAGAAGTGTTGCCAGTATTCTGTAAAAAAGCCTAGTAAGGTCTAACAGTGTAGGACATAACTATCAGCTTTTGTATGACTCTTTGTATGACGATGAATGACTCTTTGACTCAACAAAGATATACAATAAATACACTGGACTACTCTGTTTCTGAAATACATACACTGGTGGTACAGTAAAAGTATGATAGTGTGCAGTTATGAATCCAGCAATTCACTGTTTGTACCAAGTAAATGAGTTTTTATGAATGAATCATTTGAGGGAATAATCTTTGATCTAACTTGAAGTAGGACTACATTTTAGCAGAATGATATTTCTAGCAGGGCACGTAAAATTGGAAAAACTGGTAAAACTACTGTACTGTTTACTGTGCTGCTAATGGCTAAAATTTATATTAAATTATAACTTATTAAATAAAAGGGCATATCCGCAGTGTAAAACATATACTGGATAAGTTGGCGGTTCATTCCGCTGTGATGAATAACGGGACAAAGCCGAAGGAAAATGAATGAATGAATGAATGTTTATGATGTCGCAGCACGGTGGCACAGTGGGTAGCACAATCACCTCACAGCAAGAAGGTCGCTGGTTCGAGCCCCGGCTGGGTCAGTTGGCATTTCTGTGTGGAGTTTGCATGTTCTCCCTGTGTTTGTGTGGGTTTCCCCCACAGTCCAAAGACATGCGGTATAGATGAATTGATTTCAACTAAATGGCCATAGTGTATGTGTGTAAATGAGTGTGCATGGAAGTTTCCCAGTGATGGGTTGCAGCTGTAAGGGCATCCTGGATAAGTTGCTGGATAAGTTGGCGGTTATTCCACTGTGGTGACTAAGTGACTGAGCCGAAATTAAAGTGAATGAATAGCATGGGTTCTTAGCATGGGTGCTCAGATTTACCTTTCTGCAGATTTCAGTTGCAACCCTTATCAAACACACCTGTTTGTAATTATCAAGTGCTGTTCAGGTCCTAATTAATTGGTTCAGGTGTGTTTGATCAGGGTTGGAGCTGAACTCTGTAGGAAGGTAGATCTCCAGGAACAGGGTTGAGCACCCCTGCTGTAGTGTATGTGAGTGTGTGCAACAGTGTGTGGATGTTTCCCAGAGATGGAAAATGAATGAATGATGCCTCAACCATAACAGTCACTTGTCGCCACCTATAGGCATGAACCTGAAGTGATTTGGTGAACTGCATTGCTTGAGGTAAAAACAAGAATGCCACCATTTTTGACTTCCTAATTATTGTTTTATTTTCATGACTGTTTTGTATTTGTGCTCATGTCTGTCACCACACTGACATGTTTATCTGATAGGGTTTTGCAAAAAGACATACCTGTCCATTATGTAGTGAGAAATGTGAGGGAGTGTAACCAGTATGCCATTGCAAAAAAAAAAAAAAAAGTACAATACTTTCAAATTTTCAAAAATAGCTTACACTTTATAATAACTTTCATTTACAACAACAAAATCATTACATTTAATAATGCAAAACAGTTCATGAGATAACAAATAATATCAGGAAACATAAGATCATATATTAGGCTATTATTAAATGTAATATATTTACATCAAATATAATTACATTTCAATGTATTTCTTAAACGGAGCACATATTTAAATGAATGTTTGTAAATGATTTCCTTAAGAAAGTTATTATAAAGTGTCTCCCAGAATCAAATAAACATTCTTCAAAATGCAACAAGACATTACAGATAATAAGCAAGTAAACAAAAAACAATCAGAACAAAGTTATAAAGCTCTTTCCCCAAATGGGAAAAATATTGTCATCAACTTTGGATTCAGTGATGAGTTCAACTCAGAAGGCAAAAAGGAGAGCTCTTATATATTGTACAAAAATAGCATGTGTAAAAAGGAATCAGTCATTTTCAAAATCTGTCCCTCCAACAGTGACTGTCGCTCTTTCCAAGTCTGATAATTCTCTCCCAGTTTTTTTCAAAGTTTATTTTCCATAAAACATCTCCAGAAGAAGTTCCTCCATGTTGACCGCGCCAATGACGGGTTTGAAGAAGAGCCCAGCCACTACATTGGCGTTGATGGATCTCAGCATGGAGAGAGCGAGGAAGAGTTTGGCGAATCTCGCACTGTCCCCGCGGTGAATCATTTTGACATATTCATTAAGTGCCTGGTTCGCCTCGCTCTGCAGGGCCTGGATGTAATGTTGACACTGCAGCCCAGCAACATCTGAGAACAAGAGATTAAGTGAAACTTGTTATATTGTATGCCAGGAAGATATGAATGACATGAAATTACCCTCATTAAACCAATAAAATGTACTACCTGTATATTTGATTAGCACTCTCAATTTCTTGGGAACAATTTATGATCAACGAGTCATGATTCTTGTTTGATTAATACATTACTATGAATTTGTTTTATTACGCCAATGCAAAAAAAAAGATTTTTTGTTTTTAATTAAGTATGACTCTTGGGGGTATTTATTTAAGACAGGCAGTATTTTAATTATTATTTTAATTATCATTATTTTAATACATCATTACATTTTTCCTTATCAAATGTATTAAGTAAACTAATTAGGTTAACTAGGCAGGATAGGGTAATTAGGCAAGTTTTTGTATAACGATGAATTGTTCTGTAGACAATCAATAAAATATATAGCTTAAAGGGGCTAATAATTTTAACCTTAAAATGGTTTTTAGAAAATTAAAACTACTTTTATTCTAGCCGAAATAAAACAAATAAGACTTTCTCCGGAAGAAACAATATTATCAGACATACTGTAAAAATTTGCTTGCTCTGTAAAACATAATTTGGGAAATATTTAAAATACACACACACACACACACACAAACACACATACACACACACACACACACACACACACACATATATATATATATATATATATATATATATATATATATATATATATATATATATATATATATATATATATATATAATTAATTATTAACCTAATACAACAATAAATACCTTAATAGATCTCATTGTTTATTATGTCAATAACAAAAGCATTTTAAAGACAAAATTGTATTACTTTTCCTTTCTACTTATGTGTATTATTGTTGTTGGTGTTAAATTATACATATTAAATTAATATTATAAATAATAATAATAATAATACAAAAGTTAATGTACAAAAGTATTATTTCAATTTATTATTATTATTATTATTACTCATGAAAAATAATAATTACTATGTGATTCATTTCTGAGAAAATTAACATTATGATCAACTATGAACTGTCTAAATCCAGGTATTCTTCCACCTATTCACATTATTATTAGTAGTATTTTTTTTATCATCATAATAATAATTCGTGAATATTAATATTACATTTACACAAGTTAAAGCTAAATGTAAAGTATTATTATTGTTGTTGTTGTTGTTGTTGATTTTGATATTAATATCAATTAATTAATTTGACTAATTGGAGTGTGAATTAAATTATAAACAGTTAACGTTGAAAACTACTATGAACTCCACATTAGTGTATATTTACTCATCATCACCACACATATTATTAGGTTGTCGTTAATAATTACAATGTGAGCTAAAGTAAAGATTTGGGTCGTCTTGTAATTAGATTCATTATGAATGAATTCACAATAATAATCCCAACGTGACTCGAATTAAAGCAACTCTTTTTATCGGAAGTGTCCAAACTCAGGTACCAGCATCGCCTCTCACCTGGGTTGAACAGAATGGCCCCTTTCAAGTACGCGTACTCCTTAGTGCTTATGTCCAGTCCCCAGCATTTCCTCAGAAACATTTTAATACCCTGCACGTCGGTCAACGCCACTCCGCCGTTATGGCTCTGGTTGTCCTGCTTGTCCTGTCCGCTCGTTAAAATCCGCTGCAGCATGCTGGGCTCCTGCGTCTCCGAAGTCTCGAAGTCGATCCTGTCCTGCGCCATACCGAGCACCAGCAGCGGTGCCCAGCCGCTTCGCACCAGCGTGTGCTGATCATCCGCTGGCAGTTCGCGGAAGCACGGGACGTTCTTCACGAACTTCAGGGTCTTGACCAGGACGGCGGAGGCGGCTTTGCATGTGGTTTGAGGAGAACGGAGGGACACTTTCCTCTTGGAGCCGCAGGCACAGGCGCGCATGGACACGGCTAGCCTCGGGGCGCGCGGCTGGTTCCCAAGTTGCGCAGACTGACTGTCGTTCTTTAAGATGCTGTATAAGATGCTGTTCTGCCGCCGCTCGCTGCTGCAGTGGCAGCCGCTGTCAAAGTAAGCCATCCTCGCAGAGCTGCTTATGTTTCGTTGCTGAAACTGTGCTGAGCTGCACGCTTGGAGATGTCCATGCACGGCTGAGGTCTGTGTTACCGTCCACCCAAATGGCAAATAGTTTAGAGTTTTTAAAGAGCACACAGGACGCCTCCCACTGTCTCACTTCCATGCACACATAGGGGGCGATATAGTCTCTGTGTAATGTTGTTGATGTGGTGTGTGGGTTTGTGTACTGGGCAACTGGGCTACCGGGGAATGTCATGGGCAACACATTTTCCCACCGAAACAGTGAAACATAAAATCACCTGCTTTTAGAACTTCATGAAAATATAAAATGCATTTTTTTAAAATATAATGATAAAATGTAATGATAAATATGAAGTTTATTAATAAAATCAATACTTCATATCTAGTTAAAACATACATGTGTATAATTATAATATTAAAATCGATTTTATAATTAACATATAGTTTAAAATATAATTATAATTATTATGTATATACCACTTTTATAATTATTATAATACTAAACAAGACTTTTGAATAATACCATATTTTATATACTATTGATAGCTTGTATGTAATAATAAATCTATAAATAGTTAAACTAGCACAATTTTTTTAATATTAATATTACAAGCTGTGCAATAGTTAGTTAAGTATTAATTTATTACCTTCTGTGATTTGGTTTTAAATTGACTTATATTTTACAGATGAAGTCAGAATTATTAGCCCCCGTGTTAATTTTTCTCCTATTTCTGTTTAGCGGAGAGATGATGTTTTTCAACACATTTCTAAACATGATAGTTTTAATAACTTATATATAATAGTTGATTTATTTTATATTTGCAATGATGACAGTAAATCATATGTGACTAGATATTTTTAAGACACTTCTATACAGCTTAAAGTGACACTTAAAGGCTTAACTATTTATTAGGTATAGGTAAGTTAGGGTAATTTGGCAAGTTATTATATAACGATGATTTGTTCTGTAGACTATCGAAAAAAATAGTTTAAAGGAGCAAATAATGTTTACCCTAAAATGTTTTTTTAAAAATTAAAAACTGCTTTTATTTTAGCCGAAATAAATCAAATAAGACTTTCTCCAGAAGAAAAAATATTATCAGACATACTGTGAAAATTGCCTTGCTCTGTTAAACATCATTTGGGAGACATTTAATAATTCTGATTTTAACTGTAGTTTAAGCATGTGGTTTGTCATTTAATGATCACAGGATCTTACTGAGTTGGTCATGAAAATTAAATATTCAATACCTTTTTTTAATTTCTTGTTTGGGTAGTTGATTTAAAAGATTGATTTATTATTTGATATTTTTATTCATTTGATTTTTCATTTTTATTTTGTCTAATTCATTCTTTTCATTCATTCATTTGTCAAGTCATCAACATTAGCATTATTGCAGTAGTATTTTGTTGTTATTGTTGTTAATAATAAAGACATTTATGTTATTATTGGTGTTTCTATTATTTTTGTTGTTAGGGTTAGCAATTCTAAAGTAACAAGTTGGCAGAAGCCTTTTTGCTCATAAAATTAATCTTTTTAACCTAATGAAGAATATTTTGTTTAGATTAGGTAAATGTGTTAAACGTAGTTTTACAGACATTTTTACAGATTTTTGCAAAACCAACAAAAAAATATATAATACAATAATTTCATTTTTTTTTCAAGTTAGATTTTTTTACTGTGCATTTATAGAATGAAATGACTTTAATTTATCATCTAAGTCAAACTCGGTCCTGGAGGGCCAGAGTCCTGCTGAGTTTAGCTCTAACTTCCTTCAACATACCTGTCTGGAAGTTTTTAGTAAACCTAGAAAAAGCTTAATTGGCTGCTTCACTAGTTAAAATTATTGGTATTTGTAGTGTGTTTAATTGGGGTTGGACCTAATATATGCAGGACACCGGTCCTGCAGGACTATGTTTGGGCACCCCTGGTTTAAGTAAAACTGAAACATTAAACTACTTTTTGGTTGCATGGTAAGAAGGTCGCTGGTTCAAGTACCGGCTAGGTCAGTTGGCATTTCTGTGTGGAGTTTGCATGTTTTCCCCATGTTCACATGGCTTTTCTCCGTGTGCTTCGGTTTCCCCCACAATCCAAAGACATACAAGTGAATTACATAAATTAAACTATGTTTCCCATTACTGGATGGCAGCTGGAAGGGCATACGTTTGCAGGAATAGTTGGCGGTTCATTCTGCTGTGGAGACCACTGATAAATAATGGACTAAGCTGAAGGAAAATGAATGAATGACTTTTCAGACTTAGTCCATTAAAAAGTACTGTAGTGATGTATTAAGTATAATGAATGATTAAATACTTTTATTGAAGTAATTTACCCTGTACACTGTTTACCTCTGAGTATGACAGCAGGTAGCAGTAGTTTCTCCCTATAGTTTGGCATCTGTCCCAGTATAGCCTTGTCTGCTTTGACAGTTTTACAGTAACGTGATGTGTTTGTGTGTGCGCAGGCCACTTTACTCCCAGGATCCTGTGATAATTTATTATTTTTGTTTTGTTATTAAAGTCCAGGGTCATCTGTATTGTGCACAGCTTAGCGGGTTTGTCGGAGGCAGACGGGGGTGTACTGATGTCACTGCTCTCCTGAAGAAGAATATAAAAACATATTGATTTGCAGCCTGTATGGAAAGTCATATCAAGGCGCCACTCCTGATGCTGAATAGCTGAAGGACAAGTCCATGGTGGAAGTGATGAAAGCATTAGAATATTGTGCGGTGAGAGACAACTCGCACAATTGATCTATTTGAAAAAAAAAAGAGAGAGAGAAATGTTTTTTTTTTTTTTTTACCATTTACATCAAGGCCAGTGTCAAATAAACAGCCTTCAGAGTCTTTTCTAACACCTGTCCCTCCTCCCTCAAGTAAAGCTACACACATACACAATTTTGGGCGTCTGTTCAATGTCAACAGGTTTAAGCGCCAGTTTTTGTAAATATTCGTCATTTACCTGCACATGAGTTTCTTGGATGAAGGCTCTCGGTTATGTTCTGCTTAGTGAGTTTGAGGGCCAACGCTCACGTCAACAACTTGTCTTTCAGCTACTGTAAGACTAACATCAGAAGAGCTGGTCCAGATAGTGACATAATCACAAGGCTAATTTTTACATGTTGCTGTTTAATTTTAGATTGGTCAGGAATGACTGTATAATGACGCAAAATAACTAGATAATTGACTGTACAGTGTGCTGAGATGCTGTCATTGATTTTTTTTCCTTTTCAAGTGCAGAATGAAAGCTATATGATCTTTTACCAGTGGGTTATTTGTTCTATTTATAAGCAATTAGAACTATACATGCACGAGGTATTTGAATACTTCATATTATACAGCTTTTCATCAGTCATCAGTTGAATTGTTGCCGTGTTAAGCCTATCTACCACATTTTATGACAATTCGGAACAACCCAAGCTCATTCTGATTACGTAACCCGAAATACATTTCTGGAGATCACCAAATACGTCCCAGAAGATGATTGACCTTTTTTTTGTTTGTTTTCATAAATCCACCAGAGGCCACTGTGTACCCTTTTTGAGATCTCAAATTTCTCTTGCGAGTGCCACTTGCGCCTGCTGTTCTTGCGTAAATCCACCAGAGGCTGCTGTCAACTACCTGACTCACTGACTGACTGACTGACTGACTGACTGATAGACTGACTGACTGATCCACCCTTCTCCTTTTTCCCCAAACCCAATCAAAAGTGTTTTCAAAAGCGCCGATTGACCTGCCCACCCACTTCCCTAATAACAGCCGACAATTTTAAAAACCAACCCAAAAGAAGAAAATAGCTTGTCAGATTTATACCACATTTTCAGATTTTACCACATTCCCACTCCGTTATTTACTTGTTTATTTTACTTTTTGGCTTTTGTTTTTGACTTACCTTTATGCTTTCTGGAACCGTTCTTCTCCAGACTTGAGCCCCGTCATTGTGGTCAACTCCTCTCTGATGTCTCAAGTCCACCAACGTTCATGTCAAGCCACTGGACAAACTGGTAACAGCGGGAAAGCCGTTCATATAGAGGTAAGCGCTCAGCTGTTAAGTGCAAAAAAAAAGGGCATCATACCGCCCCGTAGTGTTTGTTTTAGTACAAAATGCAGCTGCCAGAGATCTTACCAGGTCTAGAAAATATGATCATATCACCCCAATTTTATCCTCCTTACACTGGCTGCCTGTTAGGTTTCGTATTGAATTTTAAACATTGCTTCGTACCTATAAAGCTTTAAATAATAGCTCCTGTTTATCTAACCAACCTTTTGTCTCACTACAATCCAACCCGCTCTTTAGGAGCTCAAAACTCAGGGCTTCTGGTAGTACCTAGAATAGCAAAGTCGAGTAAAGGAGGTCGAGCCTTCTCATTTATGGCTCCCAAACTCTGGAATAGCCTTCCTGATAACGTCTGATGCTCAGACACACTCTCCCAATTCAAAACTAGATTAAAGACTTATCTGTTTAGTAAAGCATACACTCAGTGCATTACTTAATGAATGGGCCCCACACAGGTTTTTGCATCTTGATTAAATACACTTTGAACAGGAGCTACGCTAATTATTCTCCTTATTGTCTATTTCCACCTGGGGATACTCATCCCGAGGCCCTCAGACCACGCAGCACCACTGATTCGATCCAAGACCAACAACGAGATGATCCCAGGGTTTCCGTATCCTGGACCAGGGGTGGAGAGCATGAGACTGATTCCTGCGACACTCCAGGGACAGATGAATCTTCGCTGAGGTCCAGCCTTCGTTGCCTTGACTACAGCCCTGCACAAGACGTTTGGCCAGTGGAGAATTGGTTGTGCCCAACTAAGCCTGGTTTCTCTCAACATTTTTTTTTACCAATTCATTCATTCATTCAATAATTTTCTTGTCGGCTTAGTCCCTTTATTAATCCTGGGTCGCCACAGCGTAATGCACTGCCAACTTATCCAGCCTCAACCCATCTCTGGGAAACATACACACACACACACACACACACACACACACACACACACACACTCATACACTACAGACAATTTAGCGCTAGCTGTGTGCACTACCCAATTCACCTGTACCAC